CAGGGGGGGACGAGCGAGCACCCCCTCCTGAACCATACCAGGCCACATGCCCTTAACATGAGAGTATGCTTTGGGGCTGAGGGGGCTCCTCCCAAAGCACCTTGTCCCCATGTTGATGGGGACAAGGGCGTGTTCCCCACAACCCTGGCTAGTGGTTGTGGGGGTCTGCGGGCAGGAGGCTTATCAGAATCTGGAAGCACCCTTTAACAAGGGGGCCCCCAGATCTCGCACCCCCCATGTGAATGAGTACCGCTACCCATTCACAAAAAAAAAAGTGAAGCGCGAAAAAAAACAGGAGACAGTCTTTGACAAGTCCTTTATTAAAAGAAGAGAAATAAAAGAATGTCCCCTGAAGTAGACCCAACATCAATCACAATGCCCGCCACCGCTCCAAACGCTGACTCCCGGCCGTCTGCCTGCTCCGCTGGCTTGACAGTTCTTAAATATGTAAGGGGCGGGGCCACCCAGTGACAGCACGTGTGTGGCCCCACCTCCTTGTGGCGTAATCAACCTGGGCATGACCTGCAGGGATGCATGCTCAGATAAGGGTCTGGTATGGATCTTGGCAGAGACTCCACACCATTTTTTTTTTTTTAACTTTGGCGTGGGGGTTCCCCTGAAAACTCATACCAGACCCAAAGGGCTTGGTATGAATGGAGGGGGGACCCCACGCCAAAGTTAAAAAAAATGTTTTTTTTGTTATTGTTTAAATTATTTTTAATGCCCTTTTGATGCAGCGGAGCTGCAATTTGTAGGTGGGGTGTTGTGTGTGGGTTTGGCTTGAGCTGGAGTGTAAGCAGAGACACAATAATTTTCTCTTATTACCTGGGGACCCCATGAGTTGACAGTCCTCCCCTGGCTAGAGCCCTCTTCGAAGTGCGTAAATTGATTCTAAGATTCTGGATATCTGCTGACCCTACCTCACTGAAAGAATGGGTGGCCCACATGAGGGATACCATTAGGCTTAAAAAAAAAATAAATAAAAATATATATATATATATATATATATATACATACATATATATATATATATATATACATACATATATATATATATATACATATATACAGTTGCAAGAAAAAGTATGTGAGCCCCTTGGGATTCCGTGGAGTTTTGCATGAATTGGGCATAAAATGTGCTCTGAACGTCATCTAAGTCACAACAATAGAAGAACACAGTCTGCTGAACATAATACTACACAAACATTAGATGTTGCCATGGTTTAATTGCACATAACATGTAAACATTCACAGTGCAGGGAGGAAAAAGTATGTGAACCTTTGGACTTAATAACTGGTTGACCCTCCTTTGGCAGCAATAACCTCAACCAAACGTTTCCTGTAGTTGCAGATCAGACCTGCACAACGATCTGGAGTCATTTTGGACCACTCCTCTTCACAAAACTGTTTCAGTGTAGCAATATTCTTGGGATGTCTGGTGTGAATCGCTCTCTTAAGGTCATGCCACAGCATTTCAATGGGGTTGAGGTCAGGACTCTGACTGGGCCACTCCAGAAGGCGTATTCTGTGCTGTTGCAGCCATTGTTTTGTTGAATGACTTGTATGCTTTGGGTCATTGTCCTGTTGCATCACCCATCCTCTGCGGAGCTTCAGTTGGCGGACAGATGGTCGTACGTTTTCCTGAAAAATGTCTTGATAAACTCTGGAATTCATTTTCCCATCAATGACAACAATCCGTCCAGACCCTGAGGCAGCAAAGCAGCCCCAAACCATGATGCTCCCTCCGCCATGTTTCACAGTGGGGATGAGGTTTTGATGTTGGTGTGCTGTGCCTTTTTTTCTCCACACATAGTGTTGTGTGTTCTTCCCAAACAACTCAATCTTGGTTTCATCTGTCCACAGTATATTTTGCCAGTAGTGCTGTGGAACATCCAGGTGCTCTTTTGCAAACATCAAACATGCTGCAATATTCTTTTTGGACAGCAATGGCTTCCTCCGTGGTGTCCTCCCATGTACTCCATTCTTGTTTCATGTTCTCCTTATTGTAGATGTGTCAACAAAAATGTTAGCATGTGCCAGAGATTTCTGTAGGTCTTTAGCTGACACTCTGGGATTCTTCTTTACCTCATGCAGCATTCTGCACTGTGCTCTTGCAGCCATTTTTACAGGAAGACCACGCCTAGGGAGAGTAGCAACAGTGCTAAACTTTCTCCATTTGTAGACAGTCTGTCTTACCGTGGACGCATGAACATCAAGGCTTTTGGAGATACTTTTGTAACCCTTTCCAGCTTCATGCAAGTCAACAATTCTTGATCGTAGGTCTTCTGAGAGCTCTTTTCTGCGAGGCATGGTTCACATCAGACAGTGCTTCTTGAAACCAGTAAACCCAAAACAGGTGTCAGCAACACATCCAATATCATCACACTGATTGGAGTCAAGGTTGGCTCACTCCTGGCTCCAATTAGCTCTGGGAGAAGTCATTAAGCTAGGGCCTCACATACTTTTTCCTCCCTGCACTGTGAATGATTACATGTTATGTGCAATTAAACCATGGCAACATCTAATGTTTGTGTAGTATTATGTTCAGCAGACTGTGTTCTTCTATTGTTGTGACTTAGATGACGTTCAGAGCACATTTTATGCCCAATTCATGCAAAACTCCACGGAATCCCAAGGGGTTCACATACTTTTTCTTGCAACTGTATATATATATACATATACACACACACACACACACACACAGTGGGGATCGAAAGTTTGGGCACCCCAGCTAAAAATTTGTATTAATGTGCATAAAGAAGCCAAGGAAAGATGGAAAAATCTCAAAAAGGCATCAAATTACAGATTAGACATTCTTATAATATGTCAACAAAAGTTAGATTTTATTTCCATCATTTACACTTTCAAAATAACAGAAAACAAAAAAATGGTGTCTGCAAAAGTTTGGGCACCCTGCAGAGTTAATATCTTGTACTGCCCCCTTTGGCAAGTATCACAGCTTGTAAATGCTTTTTGTAGCCAGCCAAGAGTCTTTCAATTCTTGTTTGAGGTATCTTTGCCCATTCTTCCTAACAAAAGTCTTCCAGTTCTTTGAGATTTCTGGGCTGTCTGTCACGCACTGCTCTTTTAAGGTCTATCCATAGATTTTCAATTATGTTGAGGTCAGAAGATTGTGAAGGCCATGGCAAAACCTTCAGTTTACGCCTCTTGATGTAATCCCCCGTGGATTTCGAGGTGTGTTTAGGACCATTATCCATTTGTAGAAGCCATCCTCTCTTTAACTTCAGCTTTTTCACAGATGGTATCAAGTTACCATCCAAAATTTGCTGAAATTTTATTGAATCCATTTTTCCTTCTACTCGTGAGATGTTCCCTGTGCCACTGGCTGCAACACAACCCCAAAGCATGATTGATCCAACCCCATGCTTAACAGTTGGACAGAGGTTCTTTTCATTAAATTCTGTGCCCCTTCTTCTCCAAACGTACCTTTGCTCATTCCGGCCAAAAAGTTCAATTTTAACCTCATCGGTCCACAGAACTTGTTTCCAAAATGCATCAAGCTTGTCTATATGTTCATTTGCAAAGTTCAAACGATGATTTTTGTGGTGAGGAAGTAGAAGAGGTTTTCTTCTGATGACTCTTCCATGAAGACCATATTTGTACAAGTATCTCTTTATAGTGGAATAGTGTACCTGTCGGGGCTCCCGGGTATGACCAGAAGTGTGTGACTGACGCAGGGAAACGCAGACTTCAGATATGTTATAAACAATGTAATTTATTAACACTAACCATACAAACATAAACGCAGTGCAATACTAAAACATAACACAGTGCAAACAAACCAACCAACCACCCACAGATAACAGTACATACAATGCAAGCGTCGTCAGGCAGGCCGGGTCAATATCAGTCGGGCAGGTAGGTACAGGGGGAGCAAGCGGAGAATGGTCGGGGTCACAGGCCAGGTTCAGCAGGTAGCGGGCAGTGTGGTACAGAGGGTCAGGCAGAGGAGAATGGTCAGACAAGCCAGGGATCAGAGCAGGGTCAGCAGAGAATCAGACAGGAACAGGGAGCAGGAACAGGATACAGGGCCCAAGAGAAACACAACACCAAGGTAGAGTCTGCAGGTCTGAATGTCCCTTAAATACACCAGTATAATTAGTTCCAGGTGTTTGACTGGCTGCAAGGTTGAGTCTCTGATTGCTGGGAGCACCCGCTGGCCAGCCCTGGTACTGCAGCTCATAAGGCAGCTGAGTCCCACTATTGCTGGCCAGTCCATTCCTGACAGTACCACAACTCCAGTGTCTGCCAGATCTTTCTGGAGGGATTGTGCAGTCAAACGTGGGTTTTGAATTGTTTTTTCCCACAATCCTGCGAGCTGTTCTGTCAGGCGTCGGGCCCCCAGGCGGGGTGACAGGCATCGGGCCCCCAGGCGGTGCGGCGGGCGCCGGACCCCCAGGCAGAGCGACAGGTCTCGGGCCCTCAGGCGGAGCGGGGGGCGCCGGACCCCCAGGCGGAGCGACAGGTCTCGGGCCCTCAGGCGGGGCGGCGGGCACCGGACCCCCAGGCGGAGCGGCGGGCGCCGGACCCCCAGGCGGAGTGACAGGTCTCGGACCCCCAGGCGGAGCGGTGGGCACCGAGTCACCAGGCACGACAGTGGGCTCCGAGTCAACTGGCATGACCGCTGGCACTGGGTCAGACATTGGATCGTCTGGCTGGACAGCGGGGCATCGGGTCACCAGGCATCAGGTCATTTGGCTCGACAGCGGGCACCGCGTCATCTGGCAAGGCAATGGGCGACAGGCGTCGGGCCCCCAGGCGGGGCGACAGGCATCGGGCCCCCAGGCGGCGGTGCGGCGGGCGCCGGACCCCCAGGCGGAGCGACAGGTCTCGGGCCCTCAGGCGGAGCGGCGGGCGCCGGACCCCCAGGCGGAGCGACAGGTCTCGGGCCCTCAGGCGGAGCGGCGGGGCGCCGGACCCCCAGGTGGAGCGACAGGTCTCGGGCCCTCAGGCGGAGCGGCGGGCGCCGGACCCCCAGGCGGAGTGACAGGTCTCGGGCCCTCAGGCGGAGCGACAGGTCTCAGGCCCCCAGGCGGGGCAGCGGGCGCCGGACCCCCCCAGGCGGAGCGGCGGGCGCCGGACCCCCAGGCGGAGCGACAGGTCTCGGACCCCCAGGCGGAGCGGCGGGCACCGAGTCACCAGGCACGACAGTGGGCTCCGAGTCAACTGGCATGACCGCTGGCACTGGGTCAGACATTGGATCGTCTGGCTGGACAGCGGGCATCGGGTCACCAGGCATCAGGTCATTTGGCTCGACAGCGGGCACCGCGTCATCTGGCAAGGCAGTGGGCTCCGAGTCGACTGGCATGACCGCGGGCACTGGGGCAGACATTGAATCGTCTGGCTGGACAGCGGGCATCGGGTCACCAGGCATCAGGTCATTTGGCTCGACAGCGGGCACCGCTTCATCTGGCAAGGCAGTGGGCTCCGAGTCAACAGGCACGACAGTGGGCTCTGAGTCAATTGGCACGACAGCGGGCACCGGGTCATCAGGTACCGGATTGTCTGGCTCGACAGCGGGCATCGGGTCACCAGGTATGACAGCGGGCACTGGGTCACCAGGCATCAGGTCATTTGGCTTGCCAGCGGGCACCGCGTCATCTGGCAAGGCAGTGGGCACTGAGTCACCAGGTACGACAGCGGGCTCTGAGTCAATTGGCACGACAGCGGGCACCGGGTCATCAGGTACCGGATTGTCTGGCTCGACCGCGGGTATCGGGTCACCAGGTATGACAGCGGGCACCGGGTCATCAGGTACCAGATTGTCTGGCTTGACAGCGGGCATCGGGTCACCAGGTATGACAGCGGGCACTGGGTCACCAGGCATCAGGTCATTTGGCTTGCCAGCGGGCACCGCGTCATCTTGGCAAGGCAGTGGGCACCGGGTCACCAGGCATTGGATCGTCTGGCTCGACAGCGGGCATCGGGTCACCAGGTATGACAGCGGGCACTGGGTCACCAGGCATCAGGTCATTTGGCTCGCCAGCGGGCACCGCGTCATCTGGCAAGGCAGTGGGCACCGAGTCACCAGGTATGACAGCGGGCTCTGAGTCAATTGGCACGACAGCGGGCACTGGATCAGGTACCGGATCGTCTGGATCAACAGCGGGTATCAAGTCAACTGGCCTAATAGGATCATCAGGCTGGATCAGTTCATCAGGCTGAGTGGAGGCACCAGGCTGAGTAGAGGCATCCGGCTGAGTAGAGGCACCCCGGCTGAGTAGAGGCACCCGGCTGAGTAGAGGCACCCGGCTGAGTAGAGGCACCCGGCTGAGTAGAGGCACCAGGCTGAGTAGAGGCACCAGGCTGAGTAGAGGCACCAGGCTGAGTAGAGGCACCAGGCTGAGTAGAGGCACCAGGCTGAGTAGAGGCACCAGGCTGAGTGGAGGCACCAGGCTGAGTGGAGGCACCAGCTGAGTGGAGGCACCAGGCTGAAGAGAGGCATCAGGCTGAGTGGAGGCATCAGGCTGAGTGGAGGCACCAGGCTGGGTACAGGCACCAGGCTGAATAGAGGCATCAGGCTGAATGGTGGGTGCCGAGGCACCAGGCTGAACCACGGAAGGCAGGTTCTCAGACGGCAGGCTCACCGGTTTGGATACTGGCAGGATGGTATTGGTTGGAAAGAATTTTCGCTTTTTTCTGGTTTTAACTACTGGAGCACTGCAAGTAAACGCAGGTCTGCAAACGAATGGAGCAGCTGGAGACAGAGAATAACTGGAGGATGGAACAGGAGAGGGAGCAGTTGCTACAGAGGGCTTTTTTACAGGGTTAAAGGCAGGATAGGTGCAGCGAGTGGGAACAGGGTACTGACATGCGGTAGATAGCAGGGCAGGAGGAGCTGTTGGGAATGCAGGAATAGAGCTTTGAGGAAATAGATTAGAAGCAGGACGGGTTTTTGTAAGCTGACTGAGGCTGGGTGCAACAAGTCTGTCCATGTCTGCAGTATGGGGTTGAACAAAGCTGAGCTTACACAAAGCCTGTCTGGTCAATGACTGCACTGCGTTTATACAATCTTAGTACCTGTGGTGAACATGTGGAATAACGCTCCAGAAAGTAACCCACATCATCCTCTAATAACCACACCAGGGACTCTACCTGGTCTGCACTAAATGGCGGCAAAAATTCATCCCTGCATTCGGGGGTACCAGATGAAACCAACTCCGCACAAACCTCAATCAAAGGCTGCACCTCAGAGAACTCTGTGCCCTGATCTACTAGACCATGAGCGAGCCGTATACATTCTAGCAGTTCATCCCGGGTATACTCCTTCAGAGTCTGATAAGCATACTCCCTGTCATCAAACACTAGCAGATATAAATACACAACCTCATCCAGATCCATCCTTCCCATCAACAAACCAAGATGGCTTCCCTGTGCAGCCACTTCTGGTCAGGATTGGCCTTGGTGTAATGTCAGGGCTCCGGGTATGACCAGAAGTGTGTGACTGACGCAGGGAAACGCAGACTTCAGATATGTTATAAACAATGTAATTTATTAACACTAACCATACAAACATAAACGCAGTGCAATACTAAAACATAACACAGTGCAAACAAACCAACCAACCACCCACAGATAACAGTACATACAATGCAAGCGTCGTCAGGCAGGCCGGGTCAATCAGTCGGGCAGGTAGGTACAGGGGGAGCAAGCGGAGAATGGTCGGGGTCACAGGCCACGTTCAGCAGGTAGCGGGCAGCGTGGTACAGAGGGTCAGGCAGAGGAGAATGGTCAGACAAGCCAGGGATCAGAGCAGGGTCAGCAGAGAATCAGACAGGAACAGGGAGCAGGAACAGGATACAGGGCCCAAGAGAAACACAACACCAAGGTAGAGTCTGCAGGTCTGAATGTCCCTTAAATACACCAGTATAATTAGTTCCAGGTGTTTGACTGGCTGCAAGGTTGAGTCTCTGATTGCTGGGAGCACCCGCTGGCCAGCCCTGGTACTGCAGCTCATAAGGCAGCTGAGTCCCACTATTGCTGGCCAGTCCATTCCTGACAGTACCACAACTCCAGTGTCTGCCAGATCTTTCTGGAGGGATTGTGCAGTCAAACGTGGGTTTTGAATTGTTTTTCCCACAATCCTGCGAGCTGTTCTGTCTGATATTTTTCTTGGTCTTCCAGATGTTGCTTTAACTTCCACTGTTCCTGATGACTACCATTTCTTAATTACATTCCGAACAGAGGATAATGACATCTGAAAACGCTTTGCTATCTTCTTATAGCCTTCTCCAGCTTTGTGAGCGTCAACTATTTTCAGTTTCAGTTTTCTAGACAACTGCTTAGAAGAACCCATGGTGCTGATTGTTGGGGCAAGGTCAGATGAGTCTGGGCATTTAAAACATTTGAGATTGACATCACCTGGTCTTCCCAGATGATGATTGAGAACAATCCATGACACTGGCAGGTCTCAGCTTGGTAAAGGGGGCAGCGCATGCTATAAATTCTGCAGGGTGCCCAAACTTTTGCAGACGCCATTTTTTTTTTTTTCTGTTTTTTTTGAAAGTGTAAATGATGGAAATAAAATCTGAATTTTGTTGACATATTATAAGAATGTCTAATCTGTAATTTGTTGCCTTTTGGAGATTTTTCCATCTTTCATTGGCTTCTTTATGCACATTAATACATAGTGCCCAAACTTTCGATCCCCACTGTAATATATATATATATATATATCTCAACACAAAGGCTTTACCAATACATTTGAAAAATTATGGGCCCCGTGGGCTAGACACACCTGGATTGGCCCCTGTAGATCTGATTATGGACCGCATATTGTGATAGCTTGATAATGGGGATGGTATATTGTCACTGCTTCATATAGAATAACGTGTACTGGTATGGTTATTGTAGTTGCACTTTCCTCCTACTCCCTTATTGTTGTTCAATATATTGGCTAATAATTGTAACTGGTTGCTTAGAGTAAGTTATGCATCGTTGATGTGCTCTGGATCTTTGTACAATTTTACTTTGTTTAATAAAACCTTTTTCTTGAGGAAAAAAAAAAGAATGTATATACACACACCAGTGTTCAAATGCTTGAAGTTGCCAAACAATAATCATGTTTTTCATTGGAACTGGTTCACGAAGGTATCCTTTAATTGATCAGAAATTACAAGAAATACATTGACAGTATGTAAAAAAAAAATAAATAAAAAAAATAATAATATAAAAAAATAAAATAAAAATGTAAAAAAAAAATGTTTAAAAAATTATAATTTTTGGTTATAAACTAATTTTTTGTTCTGTTTTTTTTTTTTACTAAAAAGATAATGAAATACATTTTGGCAAAGATTTATGATGAAATATTATTTATTTGCAAAATTTTATTAAAAAAAACACTTTTGTTCAAAATTTTTGGACTTTTTCATTTACATAGCAAAAAAAAAATAAAAATCCCAGCAGTGAAAAAATACCACCAAAATAAAGCTTTATCTGTTGCAAAAAAAATGGTAAAAAATTAATTTGGGTACAGTGTTGCATGACTGCGCAATTGTCATTCAAAGTGTGATAGCGCTGAAAGCTGAAAATTGCCCTGGTCAGGAAGGGGGGGTAAAAGTGTCCGGTCTGGAAGTGGTTAAATGCTGGAGCAATTAACAGAGTATTTTTTCAGCCCCAAAGATGTCAAGGCATCATCCTAAGAGTATCATTATTTCAATCTGTGATTTGTCAGTAGGCTACATTTTGTAACACTGTCTGTCCAACACATTTGGGCCCATTATGATCTATGTGTCCTATTGTCAAGACCCACCAATATGGAGGTTTTTTTAACTAATAAAAGGCGGTAAACTTTTCTTCAATTCTTCTTTCTTATTTTTGTTATATATGGTTTGGTACCTTAAAAATCCTATTTAGCTTTTTTTGGTTAAGGTTTTAATTACTGTTAGTGGTATTATAACAAAGTGCAAGCAACTGGGAACAACAGCAACTCAGCGACGAAGTGGTAGGCCACGTAAAATGACAGAGTGGGGTCAGAGCATGCTGAAGTTCACAGTGCGCAGGAGTCAACTGTCTGCAGAGTCAATAGTTAAAGACCTCAAAACTCCATGTGGCCTTCAGATTAGCACAGCAATGCACAAAGAGCTTCATGCAATGGATTGCCATGGCCGAACACTGCATCCAACCATTACATCACCAAGTGCAATGCAAAGCATCGCATGCAGTGGTGCATGCCACCACTGGACTCTAGAGCAGTGGAGACGTGTTCTCTGGAGTGACAAATCACACTTCTCTGTCTGGCAATCTGATGGACGTGTCTGGGTTTGGTGGTTGCCAGAACTGTACTTGCCTGACTGCATTGTGCCAAGTGTAAAGTTTGGTGGAGGGGGATTATAGTGTGGGGTTGGGCTTGGCCCCTTAGTTCCATTAAAGGGAACTCTTAAGGAGTCAACATACCTAGACCTTGGACAATTTCATGCTCCCAACCTTGTGGGAAGTTTGGGGATGGCCCCTTCCTGTTCCAACAGACTGCACACCACCACACAAAGCAAGGTCCATAAAGACATGGAGTTTGGGATGGAGGACCTTGACTGGCCTGCACTTCAACCAGATAGAACACCTTTGGGATGAATTAGAGTGGAGACTACGAGCCAGGCCTTCTCGTCCGACATTAGTGCCTGACAAATGCGGTTCTTGAGGAATAGTCAAATTCCCAGACACACTCCTAAACCTTGTGGACAGCCTTCCCAGAAGAGTTGAAGCTGGTATAGCTGAAAAGGGTGGGCCAGCTCAATATTGAACCCTACGGACTAAGACAGGGATGCCATTAAAGTTCATGTGTGTGTAAAGGTAGGTGTCCCAATACCTTTGGCAATATAGTGTATACAGTGAAGGAAATAAGTATTTGATCCCCTGCTGATTTTGAATGGTTTCCCACTCACAAAGAAATGATCAATCTAAAAATCTAATGTTCGGTGTATTGTAACACTGAGAGACAGAATAGCAACAAAAAATTCAAAAGAAATGCACGTCTAACAAATGATGCACTGATTTGCATGTTCATGAGGGAAATAAGTATTTGATCCCCTATCATTCAGCAGGATTTCTGGCTA